GTTCCATCAAGGAGCTCATGTCCTCTACCTCTCCTCACCTGCGCCAGTGCATCAGCGGACGAGATAGATGTTGATCCCGTTCTCAGCAACGACTGCAGATATCACGGCTTCCATTTATCTCAGGACTCAGCGTGCGAACTGATTGAAGTATTCGGCTTACGAGACCAGCAGAGCTCGCAACACACTCGTTCGGAAAGAAACAATAACAACGATGGTTAACGTTAACGAAAAGTAAAACAAAAGTCCCCTGCCAGTCTCCGTCTTCCTCACCGCCAGTGCTGGAATTGCTTAGATTTTTGGTTTGCTAGTAGACCGCTTGCACTCGCAGGTAGCGCCCAAGGAAATTTGACCCTGCTGTAATTGGCTTGACCTCCAAATCCGGAAGCACGGCCTGAAAGCCCCAAACTTGGACATAGGCTATTTTCACTGTTCAGCAGCCCTGGGCAGGTCGTTTATGACAATCTCTGGCATTTCTGTTGTGCACTACCCTTTGTGTGCCTGTTGCAGGAATTCACGTTGGTCACTGTCCATGTTGCAGCTGTGAATAGTCGCAAAGGTGAGAAATGGTGAATGTTTGACCATTTGTGCGCACCTGTTCTTTTCAAATTACTTGTGGGTAAATGGGCCCAGCTGCAATATGAGTCCCATAAAATGTGACCCTGCTGTAACAGACTTTAGTTCCAAATTCGGATGCACGGGCAAAATCCCCAAACTTGGAGATAGATTATTTCCACGGTTCAGCAGCCCTGGGCAGGTCGTTTATGACAATGTGTATCATTTCTGTTGTGCCCTACTCTTTGTGTGCCTATTGCAGGAATTCACGGTGGTCACTGTCCATGCATGTTGTAGCTGTGAATAGTCGGAAAGGTGAGAAATGGTGAATATTTGACCATTTGTGCGCACCTGTTCTTTTCAATGTACCTGTGTGTAAATGGGCCCAGCTGCAACGTGGGTGCTGAAATTGCTTAGATTGTTGGTGTGGTAGTAGGCTGCTTGAACTCGTAGGCAGTGTCCCAGGAAGCTGGGCCCTGCTGTAACAGGCTTGCGTTCCAAGTCCGGATGCACGGGAAAAAAGCCCCAAACTTGGAGATACTGTATAGCAGGAAATTTTCGGACGGAATTTATTTTCGTACGATTTCGTACACGGCCTCTTTTGTACTAAAATAATTATTAATTCCGTACTAAAATTTGTTCATGTGAAATTATGTACACTATACATGCGTACTGCATGCGAACACGTGTATTTAGCATGCAGCACTGTACGAAAATATAATCCTTACGAAAGTTTTAAATTCGGCTTTGTCCGAAAATATTTCCGTCCGAAAATTTCCTGCTATACAGTAAGTTATTTTCAGGGTTCAGTAGCCCTGGGCAGTAGCCCTGGGCAGTAGCCCTGGGCAGTAGCCCTGGGCAGGTCTGGGCAGTAGGTCTGGGCAGGTCTGGCCAGGTCTGGGCAGGTCTGGGCAGGTCTGGGCAGTAGCCCTGGGCAGTAGCCCTGGGCAGTAGCCCTGGGCAGTAGCCCTGGGCAGTAGCCCTGGGCAGGTCTGGGCAGGTCTGGGTAGCCCTGGGCAGTAGCCCTGGGCAGGTCGTTTATGACAATGTGTGTCATTTTCGTTGTGCACTGCCCGTTGTGTGCCTATTGCAGGAATTCACGGTGGTCACTGTCCATGTTGCAGCTGTGAACAGTCGCAAAGGTGAGAAATGGTGAATGTTTGACCATTTGTGCGCACCTGTTCTTTTCAATTTACGTGTGGGTAAATGGGCCCAGCACCAATGTGGGTGTTGGAAGATTTTTGGTTTGCAAGTAGTAAGCTGCTTGCACTCGTAGGCAGTGCCCTAGGAAACCGGACCCTACTGTGACAGGCTTGATTTCCAAGTCCGGATGCACGTGCAAAAGTCTCAAACTTGGAGACAGGTTACCGACAGCTTTAAGCAGCCGTGGGCAGGTCCTTTATGACAATGTGCCACATTTCTGTTATGCACTACCCATTGTTCGCCTATTACAGGAATTCACGGTGGCCACTGTCAAATGTTGCAGCTGTGAATCATCGGAAAGGTGAGAAATGGTTAATTTTGACAATGTTTGCACAGCTGCTATTTTAACGCACCTGTGTGTAACTGGCCCCGGCTGCAATGTGGGTGCTGAAATTGATGGTATTTTTGGTTTGCTGTGAGGCCACTGGGTACTAGCGGGTAGTGCGCCATGGAATTTGACCCTGCTGTAATTGGCTTGAGCTCCAACTCTGGAATCGGGGGCAAAAGGCCCCAAAACTTGGAGATAGGCTACTACAGTCAAATCTGCCGTTAGCGACCTCTGCTGTAGGCGACCATCTACCGTTAGCGACCTATTTTCCGTGCACCGATGGTTTCACATACAAACTGATCTGTCCAGAGCGACCATCTGCTGTGCGCGACCAGCGACCGCGATTTCATGTACGGTGGCTGCATTCAAATCTGCTGTAAGCGACCGCGACCCAGGTACTGGTTCAGTAAGGTGCGAAACTGTACTTGCCAGTGCGCTGTCAACTGCAAAGTGTGGAAATGCGCTGTCTTGCAAGTGCGATCGACTGGCGCCTGGCATGGCCTGTACTGAGGCTGTGCTGTAGCTCTCAAGTCCAGGCAGTGTCGATCTACTGCCGTGTCCCATACGCGTACTATACGGGTATGGTCGTCGTTTAATATCCAATAAAATGATATTAAAAATCACATTATTCTCGTCGATTTGAGTACATGGAAGCATATACCTGGTATGCCGGATTTACCATACATCTGCCGTAAGAGACCATCTGCCGTAAGCGACCGCTTTTTCTTGCACCAAGGGGCGGTCGCTTACGACAGATTTGACTGTATCACCTTTGAGCAGCCCTGGGCAGGTCGTTTCATATTCCTTATGCAGCGTTATAGCCAGGAGAAAAGTGATGTTGGATCATCGGGCCCATTTTTCATGATTTTTACCGCTATTTTGGCAGCTACTTTCACCAGAAAACAACTGACCAAGTTCCCTTCCATGACATTTCAGATTTTCTTTACCAGCAGAATTTCCAGCTTCTTTCTGCTTCCTCAAGCAGAAACAACCAGTTCAGCCATCTGCAAGCCAAGGAGGAGAATTCTTTCCTCCAGTTGGCTGGTGTCTTATCTATATCTATACATGTAGTACACTTCTCCTGGAGAGTTTTCCTTGCTTCTTTCCTCGAGCAGAAACAACAAGAAGAAAACACTTGCTCAACTCTGACCACCATCCCCTCCTGGAAAGATTACTTTTATAGCCTATCCTGGCTCTGAACTTCACACCTGAAATGAAATGACTGGGCAACCGCCCTCAGCCAATCAGAGTTCAGCAAGTTTTTTTCTTCTTGGCCTGCTGATCTCTGAAGTCTGGTTGTTTCTGTATGAGGAAAGGAGAAACACTCAGAGTTCAGCAAGTGTTTTTCTTCTTGGCCTGTTCTGCTGATGTCTGAACTCTGGTTCTCTCTGCATGAGGAAAGGAGAAACAAGCTTGGAGAAGAAAATCTAAAATTAGAGAGAGAGAGAGAGAGAGAGAGAGAGAGAGAGAGAGAGAGAGAGAGAGAGAGAGAGAGAGAGAGAGAGAGAGAGAGAGAGAGAGAGAGAGAGAGAGAGAGAGAGAGAGAGAGAGAGAGAGAGAGAGAGAGAGAGAGAGAGAGAGAGAGAGAGGATGAGAGAGAGCGAGTCAGGTGCAGTGTTGTGACAGATATAGTACGGTAGTCTTGTCATGTTCTGCGGCTGTAAAGCGAGGCAGGCAACAGATGCAAGTCACGCCAGGGTACACTGATGCATAATGGTTGTCATGAAACAACAGATCTGGTAGTCCCCAGTGTTAGAACTGACATGTTGTTCATGCACCAGGACAAACATTCCTCATACTCAACACATAGTAGGGACTTCAGACCACGTGACTTCTTGGCCCAAAAGCGTGCAAATCGACGCCTGCACAAACCGTGTGATGGTCATATGTCAAGTCGTGTAAAGAAATGTGGAACCGTTTTTCGAAATGAAGGAAGTCTTGTACAGTTGGAGAAAGTTTCGGTTCGTCTTGTTGGAGCTTGCCTTCGTTTGGGACCAGCAAGAATGGAGCTGTTACGTTCATTTTTGACGGAGATACGTATGCGGATGGAAGGGAAAGGTGAGAAACCATATGATCCGTCCGGGTCCCCTTCTTGAAAATGTGATATTCGTATTCTACGACCTCGAATTAGTCTAGATAGAAGGTAATCTTTATTGTTTTCACCTTCCAGAAGACCTATTTCTTGCATTATTCCTCTTTGTACTTTGCCGTGCAGCGCCGCCATAGTCACAGTATGGAAAGCAGCGAGAAGTATCCTGCGCTAAAATTGATGCTGATGTACAAATTGAATTGCTCTTGGCTGTTTCGGTCCCTGCCTCGATTCTTGTCTCCAATGCTGTTATGCTCGATCTGGTTGAGCTCCGCAAGAATAGCTGAAAGAGTGCCGAACTGGGAGATGTGCTGTATTGTTGCTATTTGCTGTATCTCTGCTGATGATTATGTGCGTGCTACGATTACCCCGGCCAATACAATGTCCTGTACATGTACATGTTGAGCTTAGTTAGTGCCTCTTCCGTGATCATTCTTTTTCTTGACACCAACCACGCCAACAGTCCGAAGCTATCTCAGGACTGTATTATCAATGTCTCCTGTTACTACCCACTACGTTGTAAACCATACTATTCAGCTATTTCATGCGGAGAATCAAGATTGTTTTGGATCTGGTGTGCGGTTGCTATGCGTTGCCAAGGAAAGTGGGTTCTCTCAGTTTGACATATCTCTCTGATCTCAAATGTGTGGGACGTTTGTCGGACAAATCCGGTGATAGGCGATGACTATTTTGCTTGTAACTTTAGTTTCCTTTGTCCGATTTAGAAAAACTGAAGACCAAACTCCTCAGGAAGCTCTAACCTATCCAAAAAGCAAAACATAAGCCACAGAAAACCGATTTGAAAAAATGGTCTGAAGTCCCTACACATAGCCACAATTGGCCACAATCATGCAGCCATGCCAACATACCATAAGCAGAGAGATTTGACAGTGTACATAGGTAACACGGGCTGTGCAACATAACTTTAGAGTATAGTATGCTCTGACCAGACACTTGTTCACTGTGTACAGCTACTGATCATAGACGAGCAACAGCAGCAGCAACAGCCGCAGCAACAGCAGCAGTTGCAATAGCAGTAGCAGGGACTAGATTCAGTGGTGACGAGACACTGTAGCGCACACAGACACCAGACTGTCAAAGACAGCATTGCACATCTGCTCAGCGTAAGGCCAGGTGACAATAATTATGATGTAACCAGGTGACAGTATGACGTAACCAAGTGACAGTATGACGTAACCAATTCTCATTCACTTGCAGATGGGTTTTTCAGCACTGCACCTGTTGATGAAGAGGTCTGCAACAGCTGCCGACTGAATCGCATTTCCTGCACACACAGTAAATCATAGAATGTACTTTTACAAGCCGTCCTATATGTGGCCGGACCTATACCATTGGGGGGGGGGGGCGTTGCCATAGCAATGCACGCATTCTGGGGTGACACAAAACTACGGTATTCGTGGTACATGACCAGGCACGGTAAATCCGCGTACCCGAGCTACCGTGAGACTTCTGGGAACACACCCAAGTAGGAGTGGTGCCAAATTCAAGCGTGTGGGCCATTCAATCTGTGGTTTGTGGATTTCGTTGTAAATCTGAAAAGCACAGCGATTTCATGTGGGGTGCAATCTGTGGGCGCAATCTGTGGATTTCGTTTAAAACATGAAAGGCACAGCGAATATGTGTAGGCAATCTGAAAATTCCCAGAATGCACAAGCGCTCATTGTCTGCGGAAGCAGTCATTATCTGCGCAATCCGAGAATTCCCAGAATGCGCTGCAATCTGAGAATTCCCAGAACGCGCATGCAATCTGAGAATTCCCAGAACGCGCATGCAATCTGAGAATTCCCAGAACGCGCATGCAATCTGAGAATTCTCAGATTGCATAGAACATACACAGTCAACCTGCACGACTTGTGTTGACTTTGTGGTGACTTTGTGTTGACTTTGTGTTGACTTTGTGGTGACTTTGTGGTGACTTTGTGTTGACTTTGTGGTGACTTTGTGGTGACTTGTGGTGACTTTGTGGTGACTTTGTGGTGACTTTGTGGTGACTTTGTGGTGACTTTGTGGTGACTTTGTGGTGACTTTGTGGTGACTTTGTGGTGACTTTGTGGTGACTTTGTGGTGACTTTGTGGTGACTTTGTGGTGACTTTGTGGTGACTTTGTGGTGACTTGTGGGACCGCAGTCAACAACAGCTCACAACCACTGTTAGGAACAGTCCCTAACAGTCCCTACATCCCGCACAACCACTACCAGGGACAGTTAGTTAACCCTTTGAGGACCGAGGAAGAGTGAACTCGTCCAAAAAATGTACGCTATATTCCCGAAGACGAGTATACTCGTCCTGACAGTGCATACATTTGTACAATGCATATACACCAGTGTTCAAATTATTGTAACTGCAGGGGCGTTGGAAGGAGTTTGACATTGGTGCGGCGAAGTGTGAAAGGGGGGTCCGGGGGTTGTCCCCCGTGAAAAAAATTGAAAATTGGGCCTAAAAGGCCATATTTTAACACTACAGAATAATATGAGAAATAAGAATATGCATGCTGATGATACACCGCATTGTCGATGTAAAACATGGTACCTGTACAAGAGTCCACAAGCCAACAACAAGGTTGAAATGTAAAAAAATAAAATAAAATAAAAAACTTCGAAAATTATTGGTGCGGCTTTGGCCGCACCTGCCGCACAGGTTCCGACGCCCCTGAACTGTGGTGTCCTTTCTCCGATCATCCCAAATAATAGCTCGTTGGACAGCTGAGAAAATAAGCTTGCTGTAACACGACTCGCTGAGTACTTGGACATCTTTGGTCTGCTATTAAATGCCAATAAACGCAAGTCATGTTTGTGAGACCCCGTGGGTGTCTGGATGGACCTTCTCAAATGAAGTGTGGAAACATCAGTCAAGTGTGGAAACACAGTGCATGATGTTACTCCCGTCACCAAGTATATCCGTGTCATGCTTGGTGGCCAGCTGTCCTAGAAGCCCCAAGTGGACTTTGTTGCCAGCAAGACTGCTACTACAAGCGGGCAGCTCTGACACCATGGACGCTGCCTTTCACTCAATGCCCGCCGCTGGGCCTGGTACATCAGTATGATCCGGTCTGTTCCGAGTGTTCTCTGCTGTGCCTCAAACTCTTTCTTTCCTGCTCTATCTAAACTGCTGCTACATCGACTGATACGCATTGCCAAGTCTGGCATACAAGCTATCTTCCAACTTCCCAGAAGGACCCCACTGCTCCCCTATTTGTCAGACTTTCAATGCCTCAGCTCCACCAGTTGTATGTGCAACATCTGCTTCTCTTCGTCTTCCGCTGCTTTCATGGCAGAGCCAGCTCACTGTTTACATCCTACTACTCCTTCATTGCCACATACGTGGGCAGAGGATGTGTCACGCGTGGTCAGGTCAGCCAGCTGCTCAGCGTGCCGTTCCTACCTGGTCCCTCAGGCCGTAGCTCTATCGCCTTTGTTGGCAGTACCACATGGAACTCTCTCCCTGCTGATATTCGCGCTTGCAACGTACGCCACACGTTTCAAGCATTGCTGTCTGGCTATGACCTCATCTCCCTCCTCAACTAGCTCTCCGATGTTGTAACTGTCTGGCTATGACCTCATCTCCCTCCTCAACTAGCTCTCTGATGTTGTAACTGTCTGGCTATGACCTCATCTCCCTCCTCAACTAGCTCTCCGATGTTGTAACTGTCTGGCTACGACCTCATCTCCCTCCTCAACTAGCTCTCCGATGTTGTAACTGTCTGGCTATGACCTCATCTCCCTCCTCAACTAGCTCTCCGATGTTGTAACTGTCTGGCTATGACCTCATCTCCCTCCTCAACTAGCTCTCCGATGTTGTAACTGTCTGGCTATGACCTCATCTCCCTCCTCAACTAGCTCTCCGATGTTGTAACTGTCTGGCTATGACCTCATCTCCCTCCTCAACTAGCTCTCCGATGTTGTAACTGTCTGGCTATGACCTCATCTCCCTCCTCAACTAGCTCTCCGATGTTGTAACTGTCTGGCTATGACCTCATCTCCCTCCTCAACTAGCTCTCCGATGTTGTAACTGTCTGGCTATGACCTCATCTCCCTCCTCAACTAGCTCTCCGATGTTGTAACTGTCTGGCTATGACCTCATCTCCCTCCTCAACTAGCTCTCCGATGTTGTAACTGTCTGGCTATGACCTCATCTCCCTCCTCAACTAGCTCTCCGATGTTGTAACTGTCTGGCTACGACCTCATCTCCCTCCTCAACTAGCTCTCCGATGTTGTAACTGTCTGGCTATGACCTCATCTCCCTCCTCAACTAGCTCTCCGATGTTGTAACTGTCTAGCTATGACCTCATCTCCCTCCTCAACTAGCTCTCCGATGTTGTAACTGTCTGGCTATGACCTCATCTCCCTCCTTATTTAGCTCTCCGATGTTGTAACTGTCTGGCTATGACCTCATCTCCCTCCTCAACTAGCTCTCCGATGTTGTAACTGTCTGGCTATGACCTCATCTCCCTCCTCAACTAGCTCTCCGATGTTGTAACTGTCTGGCTATGACCTCATCTCCCTCCTCAACTAGCTCTCCGATGTTGTAACTGTCTGGCTATGACCTCATCTCCCTCCTCAACTAGCTCTCCGATGTTGTAACTGTCTGGCTATGACCTCATCTCCCTCCTCAACTAGCTCTCCGATGTTGTAACTGTCTGGCTATGACCTCATCTCCCTCCTCAACTAGCTCTCCGATGTTGTAACTGTCTGGCTATGACCTCATCTCCCTCCTCAACTAGCTCTCCGATGTTGTAACTGTCTGGCTATGACCTCATCTCCCTCCTCAACTAGCTCTCTGATGTTGTAACTGTCTGGCTATGACCTCATCTCCCTCCTCAACTAGCTCTCCGATGTTGTAACTGTCTGGCTATGACCTCATCTCCCTCCTCAACTAGCTCTCCGATGTTGTAACTGTCTGGCTATGACCTCATCTCCCTCCTCAACTAGCTCTCCGATGTTGTAACTGTCTGGCTATGACCTCATCTCCCTCCTCAACTAGCTCTCTGATGTTGTAACTGTCTGGCTATGACCTCATCTCCCTCCTCAACTAGCTCTCCGATATTGTAACTGTCTGGCTATGACCTCATCTCCCTCCTCAACTAGCTCTCCGATGTTGTAACTGTCTGGCTATGACCTCATCTCCCTCCTCAACTAGCTCTCCGATGTTGTAACTGTCTGGCTATGACCTCATCTCCCTCCTCAACTAGCTCTCCGATGTTGTAACTGTCTGGCTATGACCTCATCTCCCTCCTCAACTAGCTCTGTGATGTTGTAACTGTCTGGCTATGACCTCATCTCCCTCCTCAACTAGCTCTCCGATGTTGTAACTGTCTGGCTATGACCTCATCTCCCTCCTCAACTAGCTCTCCGATGTTGTAACTGTCTGGCTATGACCTCATCTCCCTCCTCAACTAGCTCTCCGATGTTGTAACTGTCTGGCTATGACCTCATCTCCCTCCTCAACTAGCTCTCCGATGTTGTAACTGTCTGGCTATGACCTCATCTCCCTCCTCAACTAGCTCTCCGATGTTGTAACTGTCTGGCTATGACCTCATCTCCCTCCTCAACTAGCTCTCCGATGTTGTAACTGTCTGGCTATGACCTCATCTCCCTCCTCAACTAGCTCTCCGATGTTGTAACTGTCTGGCTATGACCTCATCTCCCTCCTCAACTAGCTCTCCGATGTTGTAACTGTCTGGCTATGACCTCATCTCCCTCCTCAACTAGCTCTCCGATGTTGTAACTGTCTGGCTATGACCTCATCTCCCTCCTCAACTAGCTCTCCGATGTTGTAACTGTCTGGCTATGACCTCATCTCCCTCCTCAACTAGCTCTCCGATGTTGTAACTGTCTGGCTATGACCTCATCTCCCTCCTCAACTAGCTCTCCGATGTTGTAACTGTCTGGCTATGACCTCATCTCCCTCCTCAACTAGCTCTCCGATGTTGTAACTGTCTGGCTATGACCTCATCTCCCTCCTCAACTAGCTCTCCGATGTTGTAACTGTCTGGCTATGACCTCATCTCCCTCCTCAACTAGCTCTCCGATGTTGTAACTGTCTGGCTATGACCTCATCTCCCTCCTCAACTAGCTCTCCGATGATGTAACTTGTGCCTACTGCATGTATGTCGTCCTCACATACTCTGCCTGAACAGATGCGCACACAATTATGTTCGTGCCCTCTATCCTAGTCCAATTAAATTGGCAAACCTGTAGTAGCATTTGGGCACATTCCGTACTACGTTGTAGTAGATTAGGTACTCGAACTGTATGCGCAACGGATTGGGAGCTGGCTCACCGCCGATGTCTTGCGATGTCTTGCGGCGCCGATTTTGCTTATGTGAACCAACCCTTACATGAAAATACATAGGGTACGAGGCTGACCTCGCAGGTCTTCGGAACCCGACAGTCATGTAGTGATGGTGGTGTTGCTTTCCTCACCCTCGGCGCCTTTGACATCTCAACTTAAGGGTAACACACTTCCTAGAACAGCTCCTGCGAACTGTATTTAAAACTAACAAAATGCCCTGAAAAAGGTTGTATGTCACAACAGGGGCGTTGGAAGGTTATTTAGGGTGATACAGTCAGCCACCTGAGGTACAATTCACTTGTTGAGAGGGGTGGTTCTGCTGAAAAATTTCGAAAAATTCAGAGTCCACATCGTTGCTTTTGATTGATTCACAGGATACCTGGGTCAAAGAGTGGTACGGTCAATACCGTGGTGACGTGATGTACGTGCTGTATGCGTTGATTTCATGCACGATGTGCCCTTTTTGAAACTTTGTTGTCCATCTACATTGTAGAATGGTGCATCTTCATCGTCTTGCCGTGTTCAACTGGGAAGAATATCATGGTGGAGGAGCTTGAGGCTCATCTAACAAGCTAGTTGCACGTGGTCCATCAGCAGCAGTCCTCCGTTGTCATGGTCAAGGAGATAGAGCGCAGGAGCTTCAAGAAGATGGTGAAATTGTTGCATGCTAGTGTAGCGGGCCGCAGTCGCTCTTGGAGGCAAATGCACACGGGTCTCAGTGAACACACTGTAATTGGCAATTGAAATGTACTGGCAACGAAATTAACTGACTGGCAACTAAATTAACTAACTGGAAAACTAAATTAACTGACTGGCTACTAAATTAACTAACTGGCAATAAAAGAATCGTGAGCAGCAGCTTTTATGCAAAGGCAGACTCCGTACGCTAATGTACGGGATACGCTAACGTATGGGGATACAGTACGGGGATATCCTAACGTACGGGAATACAGTAACGTACGGGTTATGCTAACGTACGGGGATACGCTATACGCTACACCTCCCCTCTCAAATACAATCACGTCCTCGTGATTCGAATACTCGGTGATAGCTGGACACCAACAACTGGCTGTTATTTAGAAGAAACTGGCGGCATGCATGGTCGCGTCGGAATAAACTCGACGATAAGAGATAGGCAGAATGGATGTATGCATGGATGACTTGAATAATATAATACAGGTATGGAGTCGTAAACATTATAGTAGATCGCGAATTACGGGGAGAGCGTCAACCGGAGTATGGCAAATAATATCGGAAATGATAACGTTTGGAATAGACAGAAGAATGAACTGATAAACAAATCATAAAGTAGAAGCACACCAGGTTCACACGATCTCACGGGGTCAAAAGGGGAAAGAACTGTCCTCAAAATAGGACCTGAAAAACCACAGCACTCTTGCTGCACAAGGCTGGCACAACCTGCCAGGAACATCGCAGTTCAAAAACCGAACTGAATACACTATACTATATAATTATCACTATTCACTATAAGGGGCATTGTCACACACATTGTCCCACGTTAGCTGGGTAGACCGTGGCTCACCATGATCGGACGTCTACCAAACTAAACTGGATTCACACACTCGCATAAAGGAAGACTGAAGAGAATAGGAAGACTGAAGGAAGACAGGAAAGAAAATGCCATACCTGGAATCAGCGTCAGTAACCACGACGGCGGCTGGAGCGACGTCGGAGGGCGAGCCAGGTGTCATCTTGGTTGAGCCGGTCACTCAGAGCGGCTAGCTCGGCGTCAGACAGATCACTCCCTCCTCGTCTTGAATCATGGTCTTCACATTGTCGATAGCATCGCTTTGCGCGACGTAAAGAGTGATGGTCTAGCCAGGAAGAGTTCTCTCAGGGTTCGGCCGTCTGTCAACTGCGTGCCGGCGAAAATCAAACGCTGCTGGTCTTGGGGAATACCCTCCTTGTCTTGGTCAGCAGCCTGCATGTCGTCGTCTGCATCAGCTTCGCCATCACCACCGGTAGTATACATGTAGGTAGCGGGTCGCTTGGAATCGCCATCGGAGTCTCCAGTGTGTGCCGTGCGGAGAGAAGGGTGATCCACGCTAGCACCCTGACTGTGCTGCAGGTTAATAAGCAGGGCCAAGCCCAGGAAGGCAAGAAACAAGATTCTCATCTTGATTCGTCGCACGGAGCTGCAGCAGGTTGAGCCATGGGGTCCGAGAAACGTGTAAAGTAACACAGTTAGGTATGGAATGAAAGAAAAAGAATTTACCGCTGCCACCAATTTGTAGCACGTAAAACAGGTGGGGTCGAATCTGACAAAGTTGACTTTAACCACCGCTGCCACCAATTTGTAGCGGGCCGCAGTCTCTCTTGGAGGCAAATGCACACGGGTCTCAGTGAACACACTGTAATTGGCAATTGAAATGTACTGGCAACGAAATTAACTGACTGGCAACTAAATTAACTAACTGGAAAACTAAATTAACTGACTGGCTACTAAATTAACTAACTGGCAATAAAAGAATCGTGAGCAGCAGCTTTTATGCAAAGGCAGACTCCGTACGCTAATGTACGGGGATACGCTAACGTATGGGGATACAGTACGGGGATATCCTAACGTACGGGAATACAGTAACGTACGGGTTATGCTAACGTACGGGGATACGCTATACGCTACACTAGTAAAGGACTATTCCTGTTCTTTGGCGCTTGATTCTTCTTTGGCGCTTGTTCCTTTCACAACGTCAGCGTCCTTCTTTCTTGTAAACAAGTCAACCGATATCTGAGTTCTTGGCTTGGTAGAAATGACGCTTGTTAGTAAGCATTCTTTTCATCAGCTAGTTTTCTTTAGTTTTCTTTGTTCGCATAATATTGTCTTTTCGTGGTCGATAAAATGACTCGTCTTGCTTTTCTTCATTTTGTAAGGGTCCTCATGGCATGCTCGATTTGTTCCCTTGCTGAGATCGCCGGTATGTCCTTCGTCTGAAGCGAGAGTAGCAATAGCTGCGTGTGAAGGAGCATGAAATCGAGGCTTAAGGGTGTCTTGTAGCTGTGAAATTGCGTACAAATTGGGAACTGTTCTGCACTTGTGTACAAATAACCCTCAGTTCAAAGAAACTGGAGGCGCTTATTTAAGTGCGGCTGGTAATCAAGGGGTGGCTGGTAATCAAATGGCGGCGGGTGTTCAAGGAATTACGGTATTTTCTGGGATTTGTGACATTCTTCGGTCCACCTGAGAATCGAACCCGCAATGATTCTCATGTTTGGACTAACAACGCGCCAAGCACATTGGCAGTGCACGGATGTCCTTCGCTATGCATCTATGTACAGAGCTGCTGCTCACTGAAATCCCACCATGCGATTGTTCATTGTGACACTGGAGGTTACGCAGGCCCAGACCTGTGAACACTGCTAGCCGGTACACTCGTTGTGCCAGGCTGCCAGCTGCACTTAGGCGCTTGCTTTTCATAAAACAGCACAAGAACTGTATTTCCAGGCAACACATGGCACGAATTGTAGCTCGCAGAAGATGGACGGCAACACAGCATCAGCAAGAAGAACAGTGCTCTGTTCTTTTTTAAAGTAACTCTCCATAATTTGTCTAACCTGATCTAACTGACGGTTGATTTGCTTCACACGGTCACGTTCATACGCCAGCCGCTTCAGCTGATAGTAAATGATGATTCTGGAGAGTGGTCAGTGTTCATATGTACACAATACATACACAGACGGGGATCATTGTTCATATGTACAACATCTTTACTGTGTTAACATACCCAGCTTGAAAAAAGTAACGAAAGACAATGGTACAATACACACACACACACACACAGGGTGGTCAGTGTTTGCATGTACGCAATACACATACACACACATACACACACACACACATACACACATGTACACACATACACACACACACACATACACACATGTACACACATACACACACACACACTCGCAAATGCACAGCCATCCACCCACCCATCCAAAACACACACACACACGCATGCACGCACACACATACACACACACACACATGTGCACACACACACACGTGCACACACACGCACACACGCATACACACCATTAGCCATTTGACCATTTGACGCCCATCACCGGAAGTGATGATAGCTATGCTACAGCAGAAGCCATAGCAACTTGTGCTGGGATTGCACCATTCAACAGCTCGCAAGGCTGAAGAATTGACCGCCACTATTCAGCCTGGTCTCCCCCACACAGCTATGAACTAGCTTTTTCTGGCCAGTGAATCCCTAATCTTTTAGTCTTTTTTAATTTTTTCGCGCGCACGCGCGCGCGCGCACACACACACCGTCTCCCCCAACTTACAGTAGCAGGAATAGTACAGGCACCAGCACGGCTACAGAATCCAGTGTCTCTAGGATCTCATCCAGCCAAGTCGGTAGAGTCAGAGACAGACGACTGTATGCCTTTGTTGCTGGTAGAACGTCGAATGGTCCACATTGTGTGGCAGTCAGACGCGTGCCATTCACAAAGGCAGAACTACCGATGTTAACAAATGTTCTGATCCATTTCCAGGTCATAGGCAAGTTCAGCACGTGAACAAAACGCACGTGCACACACAAGCACATGGTTGCGCACACACATACTCGCGCACGCACACACACACACACACACACACACACACACACACACACACAAACACAGATGAGTGAACATAAAGGAATGTGCATATGTACAACCACATAATGTCCATGTGCTTCAAAAGTTCAAAGTGAAAGTCCACCAATACTCCGGCTCCAGGAGATCAGACCTGACAAGAAAGGTCAGTTCGGGACCATGGCTATGTCCCATCCCGTCCAAGGATTTTGCCCAAATACCTAATGCCTATCCTAGGATGGGCACTGAGGTCGCCCGTTCTCGGATCGATCGACTTGAGATGCACCAATACAACAATTTAAACGCACGTTTATAAATGAAAACATAAGAGCACGTTTTAAATTTACACGCGGGATAATCCAACTCCGCATCATTGGAAAGCTTGTTCTCTCAGCTTTCAAACGAGCCCTCATTCTCGACGAGTGAATATAGGACAATAGAGTTTGTACGACGATTTTAGCATAGATCTTTATATATATACAATATATATACAAAATATACTGGCAAGGTACGTTCGGGCCTGATTGGAAATTTTTATTTCCATTGCTATCAGGTTCGGCCTCATTTCCTCTGTGCTGCGCTGATGAGTCCACAAAGGACGAAACAGTTCTGTCCGCAGATTGAGTATACAAAATATAATTTTTACAAAGACCACTTAAATGCAAAACATGAGATGCAGCTAGGGGAAGCCCGCACAACCTGAATCGTGGCAGTGGTGGTGAGGTTTAGGGAGCTCCGCCGACCTAGGGTCTCGACTTTAAGCACTGCCAAAACGGGCACACTTGCACACGAGTCACCGGGTGCTTCAGAATCCAGGGTGCTTTTGAAAACGTGTCAACTTGCGCTTCGTCCGGAAAGGGTTAAAACCACACTATCTACCATGATCATGCTTAGCATCCAAAAACACATCAAGTCTGCGTACTGTAATGCTGGACTGATTGTTAACGGGTCCGCTTGAGTTCTGGCCACAGGGTCTCAAGTTAGGTGAATACCTAACGCCACATGTCCAGTTGGGTGAATACCTAAGGGGGTCTCTCTGGTTGGGTACTTGCCAAAGCGGAGTCGGGGGGGGGGGGGGCAGTTTGGGTGCCTGCCAAAAGGGTCCTGAAATGTCACACAGATAGATGTAACAGAGCAGCAGACTCACATAGTGGTGACAAGTGATCCAGGTATTCCAACGAAGAACAGTGTCAGCAGCATCAGCCCCAGATAGAATGTGTTATCTCTGTTGAACTGGCTGTAGCGCTTCTCCGGATGACTGCTCGTATCCATCACTATGTTATAGTATACGATGAAGTAGAGAAGCAATGAGGCAGCTCCCATAAATGGAAGAACGGGTGCAAACATGGCACCAAGCTTGGGACAACAACAATAGCACAATGACAACAGCAGCAGCAGCAGCATCGGCGGCGGCGGCATGCAAACCAGCACACACGCACACAAGTTTTTTTTAAATCAAATTTCAACCACAGGTGAGGCTAAAGCAGAGGCTACCAATTTGAAACTGTTCATAAGAGTACTGGAGCTGAACAGACCTCGCAATACACAATACTAGTGCATGGTAGCAAAATCGACTCAGAAATAGGGACCAACAACTCAAATTGCATGCCTTGCGGCGGATCATGGTCTGCACCTGTGAAGGTCAGTTAGCATAACGTTCTACAACACACTGATTTATCAACATGTGCTAACTTTGACATAGGTAATGGGTTCAGTACACACATGCCAAGCAATCTAGTATGCATTACATCAGGATCATTATTATGATTAGCACCATAAATCCGTTGTGCAAATGCGTGACAATTCTTTCTTGTGATTTCGTCTCTCGGAATCTCCACTTTCCTCCTTCTTTTTCTTCCGCTACTGTCCAACATATCTATTTGCGCGGACTGACTTTGACAGTAAGCTGTATTTGTGATTACGGTACATCGCATTTCTATTGCGTACACCGACTAAAACACAAGTACTGTAAGTCTTACCAATTTTCAGCCCATTCAAATGTCGGCCTCCCAGGGCTAACACACATTTCGGCCGCATCAAATGTTCAGCCTGCATTGCTGCTGACTGTATACACTGTCACACTCAACCTTGGAAAACAAAATTTCGGCTGGAACAATTTTTCGGCCAAATATGACCAGGCCGAAAATAGCCGAAAATGAATATGCGCCGAATACTTGTTGACTTACATTACAAGTAGGACTGATAAGCCTTACCCATACCAAAGCTTGTCGATACAAGAAATAGCCCTTACCCATATCAGAACTTGTTGATACAAGACATAACCCTTACCCATATCAAAGCTTGTCGATACAGGACATTGAGGACTCCTTGTGATACGTACAGTTCCCGACGGCGGTTAAACCAGTAGAAGTACAAGTAATCGATGAGTAGCCTCGATGCAGCCTGCAGGTCAGCAGAATGTGAATACATACTCTTTACTAAGATATCTCACACACCATGTACCATGTACGCCCGTCGCATAAGAAGCACCTAAATCTGCAAATGCACTGGATGCTTACCCACAGATCTTCACTGATAGCAACTAATACTATAGCGGACAAGATCTGAATCAAACAGATCAAGACTAGTACCAGATAACTGCCTGACCCACGCAACTGGCGAAGCGATATGAATCAACCCCCAATGCACATCTGGCCTACACGACACGGAGTACATCTGAAAAGGACGGCCAAGACAGGTAATCTGACACACATGGATGAAGACAAACTCTATTGAACCATCACTACTGCACGGATGGCTACAAAATCCAAGTGGAATCCTTCTATGCATGCTTATGAGGAAGGGCAAAATTGCCTAAACGAACGGTGCGGAGGCAACGATTTTACAACCGCAATCAATAAGACAAGCCGAACCAACCTTGTTCGAATCTTTATTGTTCTCTTTACTATTTCTTCCTACTTTCATTGTTTTATTGCACATTGTCTCCACCATCTTACACTGCATGAATAATGTATACACAATGTCGACTCAGCTTGTCCTATTGATTGCGGTGACAAAATGCCACCAGTTTTGACTAGTGGTCCACCAATGTAGCCCGGCAGTATTGAGAGTGTGAGATGGCATGGCATAAAACTGGCAAGCGGGTACCGACACATTCAACTACCAGACACCTAACTCCAACCCGTCTACGTGGCGCAAAGTAACAACCTGGCAGCTTGGAAAGCTGAGGTTAGGAAAGAGTGAGATGAGAGACTGTATAATTGTAATTTTGTTACATTGGTGGACTGTTACTCATAACTCGTAACAAAGTTCAACCCCGTCCTCTTTTCAATGAATAGAATTGACTCACCATCCGAGTTGGATTGTTCGTCAAAAAATATATTATGCTACTTCTACGGAGTGTAAATCATTAAAACGGAAAATCTGGCTCCGGACTGGCAATCACTGCGCCGTCTCAGAGCGGAAACAAAGCAGACTGTCTGTCTGTCTGCTGTGTACAAACTACTCTGTACGCGGCTGTGGAGTGCAAAACATCGTTTGCAATGCATCCTCCATGTCAATCCTTATATGTAATTACAAGAGCATACACATGGCATACATATATACGCATGGCAGGAGCAGCAGCGAAAATGGCAGCAACACTGGCAGTAACTTGGCGGCAAGAACAGCAGCACTCTGAGCAATGCAGCCACAGAAGCAGCCACAGTAGTCACAGCAGCCACAGCTGCAGCCACAGCAGCAGCAGCCATAGCAGCTACAGCAGAAGCAGAAGCCATAGCAGCTACAGCAGAAGCAGCAGTCATAGAAGCAGCTGCAGCCACAGCAGCCACAGTAGTTACAGCAGCAGCCACAGCAGCTTCAGCAGAAGCAGCAGCCACAGCAGCAGCCACAGCAGTCATAGAAGCAGCTGCAGCCACAGCAGCCACAGCAGCTACAGCAGCAGCTACAGCAGCAGCCACAGCAGCAGCAGCAGCCACAGCAGAAGCATCACTATCAACAGTGGCAATAACTTATTGGATACGTCCGTTGATGCCATTCCCACATAACTGCACAGCTTTCAACAATGTGAGTATTTGTATACGCATGTAGGATACACAGGGGGCCGGGGGGGGGGAAGGGGGGATACCCAGGGGACGGGGGGGGGGGGGTACTTACCGTAGACAGTGTATCTATGATCACAAGTCGATACAGAGATTGCCCTATGTACGTACCACCACAACCAACAGTCGTATCCTGTAACACACACACATACACACACACACACACGCACACACACACACACACACACACACACACACACACACTACTACTACTACTACTAGCAGCATGACTGCCCAGAGGGGCAAGTGTCACCCCTATGGAAAGGGGACCAGAAAACGGGACACGGATCACAAGCAGGACCGCGAATGTCTGGCTAGGTCCTGCTGCCGGCGGAAATTGCGTTTACAACGTGGGCAGCTGAGGGGCAGAGCTGCTCTCTCAGCAGCAGATGGTCTCGCACCACGATTGCAGTTGTGACGCTTGAACCCGGCCGCAGAACGGAAGCATCGCTGACATGTTGGGCAGGGCTGCTGGCAACAAGCTGAAAGTGGCACAGACAGACTGACTGTTGGTGTAGGAGAACTCGTGACAGGCTGGCATCGATGACCAGAGTAGCCACCCTTGCTGCGGAACCACCTCTGGCAGTTCTGGCATTGCACTGATCCACGCTGGAGCTGGATGGGAAGCCGTCTCTGAGTGGTGCACTTGTGCCGCGTTCTATCTGAGACCCGTGAGAAGTTCCGGTCACACACTGCGCAATGCACAGACTTGGGCATGGTGGAGCTCGACTGAGGGGCAACCCGTACTTCCCTCCACTGTTGGCGGTCCTGAGCAAGGATGAACCACTGAGATGGCTGTTGCAGTGCAACCTTGAGGTCGGTCATCACCGTGTCTTTCCACCGTCGCCGGGGACCACAAAACGGCCGAGGCACAGGTAGCCACCCAAAGAGGAGTTGGAGGGGGGTGCGATCCTCATCCATACGCGCAACGTGCCCAGTCCATTCCAGACGCCGATTGCGGAGGCGTGTAGACATCAGTACTGGGTCTCCCCAACGGTTCCGCAGGTCTGTGGATGACAGCCGCTCGGACCACTGACGAGGCTTGGTGATGCTGAGGACAGTCCGGATGCATTGATGGTGGAATTTATCCAAACTTCTGATATCCCGTTGGAGTGGGGTCCAACACTCTCCGCCATACAGTAATATTGAGGAAACGCAGGCCATGTACAGGTGGCGTTTACTAGAGAGGGACAGAGATCTGTCAGTGAATACCTTCTGGAGGGCTCCGAAGGCCTTTGAGGCTTCGGCAATACGGCGCTTGATGTCGGATGAAGAACGACTGTCAGGGGTCACTATGGATCCTAGGTAGGTGAACTTCGGCACGGCTTCGATAGTGCCAAGGGGGAGAACGATGTCAGCCGAGTCTTCAGCAGAGACCCCATGGCCCGCCGTCATGATCTTCGTCTTGGCGATGCTCACAGTTAGTCCAAATTCTCGGGCAACACTACAGAAGAGCTCCACACCAAACTCAGCATCACTACGGCATTCAGACACGAGAACGGCATCATCAGCATACTCCAGGTCACTAACAGACAGTGACTCGCCAGCCCTGCGCGATGATGAGCGGGGGTAGAGTTGGCCATCGATGGAAAACTGGATGCTGACAGAGTGACTACGACCTGCATCCTTTAGCCGGGCACGCCATGTCTCAACAACCGCCCCGAAGTACAGGTTAAAGAGAACGGGTGCCATGACACATCCTTGTCGGAGACCATTAACCACAGGGAACTCATCAGAGGTGGAGTTGCCAACTCGGACCGAGGCAGAGGTAGAGGTGTGGAAAGCCTTAATCAGGGCCACTAGCTGTTGCGGGACCCCAAGTCGGCCCAAGGCCACCCAGAGAGCAGCGCGTGGTACAGAATCGTACGCCTTTTTCAAATCCACAAACACACAGAAGAGCTGCTGACGATGTTCGTATGCTTTCTCGATTAGCTGGCGGAGCGAGAAGATGGCATCAACACAGCCCCTGCCTGGCCGAAAGCCGCTCTGGGACTCTGGGAGTTCCGACTCAGCCAACAACTGCAGGCGATCTTGAATCATGCGGCCACACACCTTGCCAACAACATCAAGAAGGGCAATACCCCGCCAATTATCACATTTGGACAGGTCGCCCTTCTTGGGAACAGGAACCAACTCGGCATCGCGCCATTCCTGCGGAACAGTGGCCGTCGTCCAAGCAAGTTGGACGAGATCCAGCAATGCGTCCAGGGAATCATGGCCACCTGCTTTCACAAGCTCGGGGACTATACGCGAGGAACCTCCAGCTTTGCCATTTGCAAGGTGTCTGATGGCGACGACAAGGTCTTCCATTGTTGGTGTGACTGCCAGAGACTCGTCAGGCTCACGTTGAGGGATGTTAGCAACGGTGGAGGCATTGAAGGTACTGGGGACATTGAGCAAGTTCGAGAAGTGAGTGGACCAGCAGTCTTCCTGCTCCTCCAAAGACGTGCAAACTATGCCCTCAGCATTACGGACCGGATGGATGGTGACGGATCGGAGTCCTGAATAGCACCGTTGAATGTCTCGGATGGCGGACCAAACGTGCTTACCACTAAATTTGCCACGCTCCACAGTGCTAGCTCTCTGCTCCAACCATGCACTCTTCGCTGCACCAACTGCGGTACGACATCTACCTCGGACATCGAGGAAGCGGCGGTGGTCCGCTGGCAGCTCTGATTGACGCCACTGTTGATGGAGGCGTGTGCGCTCAGCAAAAAGAGGTTGGAGGATGTCTGCTGCTGCTAGGAACCAGTCTGGTTGTAGTCGAACGGGTTTGCCCAGGTGTGCCTCAGCGCTGGAGGTCAAGGCAGATTTGTATGCCGACCACTTGGCATCAACGGTATCAGCTGGCCCAGACAATTGCAGATGGTGTTGCACACCGGAGGCGAATTGGAGCCGAGTAGCCTGCACGGCATTAGATTGTTCGTCGGTCATACCAGGGCGGGTCATGAGAGCTTGGATATTAAAGCGTGAACGCCGTGCTACTCCGGTGCGAAAGTTGACGGTGTACGACAGACAGAACGATAAGCATACAAGATTGTGGTCGGTACTACACTCCGCACTACGGATAACGCGGCAGTCTGTGCAGGCTAGCAGATCTTGCCGCCTGACAATGGCATAATCGATACAGTGCCACTTCTTCGACCGTGGGTGCTGCCATGTATACTTGTGGATACGCTTCTTGGCAAACCAGGTGTGCACACAGTGAGGCTGTTGCATGTCAAGAACTGGAGCAGTTCCAGTCCAGCGTGGTTCGTTTCCCCTATCCCATTATCTCCACAAGTCCCATACCATGGATCAGCACTCTGGATGAGACCAACCCGTGCATTGAAGTCGCCAAGGATAATCAATTGTTGACTTGGTGGCACTGAGTTTACGCTCGCTTGCAGGGATGCAAAAAATTCATTTTTGGACTCCCTACTTGATCTGAAAGTTGGAGCGTAGCATGCAATCACATTGATCTAGGTGTTTTTGTTTCCGTGGTGGACGAACTTCAACTTGCATTGTGCAATTCTCGACGATACCGCCGTCCATTGGTTTCCTCCTGCCGAGAAAGCGTTCCGTGCACGGCCTCTCAGAACGATGCAGACTCCTTCTCCGCGTTTGAAATTTTCAGATGGTACTGGACGTCCAGACGACAACACGATCGAATCCGCGACATTGTAGATCTCAGCTCCAAACCACTTCGATTCCTGAAGTCCAGCCACTTCGATGTCGAGTCTCTTCAGCTCATTTATGACAGTATTGATCTTCCTGTCCTCGACTACTCTATGTCCAGACGCAGCAGTTTCGATTGGGCCGTCAGCATTCACGAGAGTTCTGACATTCCACGAAGCGAATTATAGTAGAGAATCGCTTCTGCTGGGGGGATCCTGCCTGCGACGACGTCGCCCGTTTTCTGGTTGCTGAAAAGCTGAGGATGGTAGAGGCGACATCCGAGGGGTAGCTAGCCCACTGTGGATGGAGGACGGACAGCGGCGCGCCAGTGACAATATCAAAATTTAAATTGTCCTGGAAGACGCGCCGTGAGCCTCTCCGACCTGTATTTCTATCTGGACGCCAGGGGCTCTCCTAGCAAGGCTAGGAGAGCCCTGGGGGGCGAGAACTAACTTAGGGAGAGCTCCAAGTAAGTAGAAGACGGGAACTAGACAGAGCCTCAAACAGAGCCTCAAAACACACACACACACACACACGCACACATGCACGCACGCACGCACGCACACACACACACACACACACACACACACACACACAAACACACATGTAGAATCACTGAATCGGTAACGTTACACACCGTCAGTGAGCAGAGACATTGGTGCACACTGGGTCCAGGGAGACTGTGCCAGGTAATGAATGCTGACATGGTGGAAGGTTAGCTGTGCCAGGTAATGAATGCTGGACTGGCAGGATGCTAGCTTCAGAGAAGAAACCCTTATAGTTTTCTTACACACGACACAAAGCACCACGCATCATTCATTGGAACTAATAGTTTCATGTCCATAGGCAATCATCGGACAACTAATACCGGATGAACAGCCAAGATTCGACTTATATGCGGTACGGGTAGTGTTACAGAGGCAGCGATGTGTGTAAGCATGAGTGAGGAGTTTCGTAAATGGATTCAGTGAGCCTAGCATTAGCAATTTAGGTCACACCTTTGTGCTTGCCGAGCAGGAACTTTGCAGCATGGCGGCACTTGAACACAATCTCTGTGCGCTTATTGAGTGAGATTCTGCGGTCTGATAAAAGGATATGGTACTTCTCGGCTATGCAGAGGTTGCAGCGCTTTGCGACGTTGGAGAAGGCAATAGAACCTTCCTTGACAGCCCAGGAAATCTCGTAAGTTCTATTCTGGCGCTTAAGGCTCCACACATACCTGGCCAGCTGAGTGCTGCAATCATAGCGATGATGCCTCAGCGGGGTCATGTGGTTGGAGTGTCTGCTCTTGAACTCTGGGGCTGACATCCCATTTTATCTTCTCAAGGTGCTTGCCGACTTGATGCTTGCTACGTACACTATGTTGGTGGCCCTGCATGTACCATTCAGTGGGCATAGCGCTGCAACATAGCAATTGCATGGCGAATCATCATGTTTTGGTTGCAATACTCTCTTGTAGTGTCCTTTTATTCTGGT